AACCGTCACCATGCCTATACACTGTACTTCACATTTAGCAAGTAGCAAATAACATCCTAATCCTATTCCATCAAGCCAAAGTTAGAACAAACACTTACCTCGGTCCAAGAATAGCAATCAACTCTCTAATACCGCCTTTCCTCTACAATCCAACTCTGAAACAATGATATCTAGGCATAATTAGTTCAATAATATCAACAAGGGCTCAAAAACATAATCCCATAGCCTAGAAATGTAATTCCTATCATTCTTCCAAAAACACCAAAATTCAACACCGGTCCCACATGCTCCAAACACGAGGCTCGGACCCAAACCCAATCACCCATAACCCCACGAGTTCAAATATATAATTTATTTCAAGATCCGACCTCAAATTGAGGTTGAATCACCCAAAATACCCAAAGCCCTAACTCTACCCAAAACCCCCATTTTCTACTTTGAATTCATGATTTAGGGCTAGGAAATTAGTGATTAGTGGAAGGAATTAAGAGGGAAAGAAGTTAAGAACACTTACCTAAGAGGCTATGGAGAAAGAAACTCTTCAAAATCGCCTATGGAGTGCTAGAGAGAGGAGCTCGTGTGAAGAAATGGCTAAATCCCGAGCTACTGATTCTGTTTTGAACTTAAAAATTCGCTGGGCAAAATTTCCCTTCGCGTTCATGGGAAAGGGGCTGCGTTCGCGAAGGGTAAACTGGACACTCCATCACGAACGCGTGAAATAGAATGCAAACGCGTAGAAGAAAATATTGGGGGGGGGGGTTCCAGGGACTGTTATACGCGAATGCGTGAGGGGCCACGCGAACGCGTTGAGGAAGCTGGTAAAGCTACGCGTTCGCGATAGTGAGGATGCGAACGCGAAGGAGGGGGAATTAGAACTACGCGATCGCATGAAGTAGGACGCGAACGCGTAAGAGGGGAAGACCAAAGTACTGCGAACGCGAGCTTGAGGCCGCGTTCGCAAAGAACAAAATGCCTGTGTAAAAATGCAGCAGAATTTGATCCTTTCCTAAGTGTAAAAACACCCCGAACCACCTCCAATTCACTTCCGAGCCCTCGGGGCTCCTAACACATCACACACACTAACTCAATAACATCCTGCGAACTTACTCGAGCGATCAAATCGCCAAAATAACATCAAAAATCGTTGAATCAAGCCTCAAGATCATCATTTTCATTTCAAACTTCATAACTTCAAATTTTAGATATTTAGGTCCAAAACACGTCAAATGACATCCGATTTCGACCAAACTTTACAGAAAGCGCTTAACACATATTTAAGACTTGTACCGGGTGTCGGAACCAAAATACGAGCCCGATACCATAGTCTTTTAATCAATTTTTATTTTCATTTTCCTTAATAATTTCAGAAAAACAATTTCACAGAAAAATTCATTTCTCGGGCTCGACCTCGAAATTCGACTCCGGGCATATGCCCGAGTCTCATATTTTTCTACGGACCCTCCGGGACCGTCAAATCACGGGTCCGGCTCCTTTTACCAAAAATGTTGACCAAAGTCAACTTTAATCATTTTAAAACCACATTTTGAAATTTTTCACAAAATTTAACATATAATCTTTCCGGCTACGCACCGGACTGCGTACGCAAATAGAGGCAACTAAAGGTGAGGTTTTCAAGGCCTCGGAAGTACGAAAAAAGAGAAAAATCCGTTGATGACCCTTTGGGTCGTCACATTATACATCCGTGTCCGTGGAACTAGGACAGAAGTTTGAACAGCAGCTTTAAAAGTGACTATCTGTGCATCTCACCCATGCTTCAGATAGATGCATTCACAATTATCCACAATTTATAATATATTTAATGATTACCCAATTTATCCAAACTTCAGGACTATGTACAATCCAATTAGGAGGTTTTGAAATGGTTCGGACATGTAAAGAAGAGAGACTCGGATGCCCAGTAAGGAGGTGCGAGGGGTTGCCAAGGGCGAGTCTGAGGAGGGGTAGAGGGAGGCCTTAGAAGAACTGGGGAGAGTTGATTAGGAAGAACATGGCTCTGCTTCATCTTACTGAGGACATGACCCTCGATAGAAAGGTGTGCAGGCCGAGAATTAGGGTAGTGAGTTGACAGATAGTCTAGAGTTCCGCCCTTTCTTATCAGTAGTAGTAGTAGTACTAGTCGTGTATTTTTCTATACCTAGCCCCTTATTTTTATACGGTGTGTCATTATTATCAGTAGGATTGACACGATTTTTGTAGTTTCGTTTCCCTGAATTTCTGTTATTACACGTCGTATTATTTGCTTCCTTTGTCTTATTACCTTGTTGTTGCTAATGTTTCTCTATTGCTTCATTTTTACTGTTTTCGAGCCGAGGATATTTCGAAAATAGCATGTCTACTTTCATAAGGTAGGGGTAAGGTCTGCGTACATACTGCCCTCCCCAAACTCCACTTATGGGATTTTACTTTGTTTTTTGTTGTTGTTGTTGTTGTTCGGGACTAAGTGTCCTAAATTTTTAAAATTCGGGACTTAGTGTCCTGAATTTTTGAGCTGCTAATTTGAAATTCATGATTAAGTACCTAAATTTCTGAACTACTAATTTAAAATTTAGGACATAAGATTCGAACTTCTGGACAAAATTTTCCAACTTTAGGACACGATTTCCTAAAATTTGAACTTTGAGGTTTAAACTCTAGGACACTGTGTGCTGAAGTTTGAGCGAAATTGGCTAAATTACTAGGAATATATTTTAAACATCATGCTTAAAAGTGGCTACCTGGCGTTATTTCCTCACAATTATTTGGCGATTCGGTCAGAGCATTGACATGTCTAGTGACGTTTGATGACAATACTCAACAAGTATCCATGAACTTTATTTTGTAAAGAGTAATCTAACATGTGTTCTTGATTGGAATATCCCACTTACTATTGTCGATGACCTTCTAATAGTTGGCATTTCAGAAACACTGGACAATCATTATCACTTTTATATCAATTATTAAATTTATTGGTGTATCCATCATAATCAAAGTTGTTAACCCATTTATAAGGCTCCCATAATAGTTTTTGTTGTTCTAGATTTCTTTTCTCACCATATATTTTCAAACTGGAATTCGTTGTGTTGTGGAGAATACACTAGTTTACCGGAAAGTTCTTCTTATTGTTTTATTATTTAGAGGATATATCCACATCTCCAAGTGTACAATCTACTTTCACAATCAAACATGCACTCTTCTATTATTTAGTTTTTCATGTTTGCGTACATTTCCTAATATTGTATAAGTATGGTTTGTCATTCTATCACATAGAATGTTGGAGGCAAGGTTTAGTATCCTCTTCGGCTGTACAAACAACAGCAAAAACATATCCCGTATAATTTCACGAGTGGGATTTGGAGAGGGTAGTGTGTACGCAGACCTTACCTCTGTTTGGCTAGATAGAAAGGCTGTTTCCGATAGACCCCTCCGCCTCAAGAAAAGGTGAAAAAAGAGAGAAGGGAAGAAGACGAAGAAGAAAGTGGAAGAAGAAAAAAGAATAAGGAGACAAAGGACGATAAGGAAAAGGAAAATGACAACAACAACAATAACAACAACAACAATAATAATAACAACAACAACAACAACAAAATTAACTACTAAAAGAAAGAGTAGCATTAAACATAAACAAAATAGAAAATACGAAACACAGAGCGAATGAAACAATAGGCTAATACTAGAGGTCAAAGAAAACGAAAAAAAAAGAGCAGTACTTATACTACAAGAAAAGAACGGGGAACTTTCGACTACATTCTAGCCTGCTACCCTAATCCTCGACCTCCACATCCTTATATCCTGGGTCATGTCCTCAGTAAGCTGGAGTAGCGTCATGTCCTGCCTAATCTCCTCTCCCCAATACTTCTTCGGCCTACCTCTACCCCTTCTCAACCCCGCCATGGCCAGCGTCTCATACCTCCTAACAGGAGCATCCGTACTCCTCCTCTGCACGTGTCCAAACCATCTCAGTCTCAACTCTCGTATTTTGTCCTTCCGGGGGCCACTCCGACTTTATCCCGATTAACTTCGTTCCGAATCTTATCTCTGTTGGTATGCCCACACGTCCATCTCACCATCCTCAATTCTGCTACTTTCTTCCTCTAAATGTGCGAGTTCTTGACTGGCCAACGCTCAGCCCCATACAACATTGTAGGTCTAACCACCACTCTGTAAATCTTACCCTTAAGTCTTGGTGGCATCTTTTTATCACGCAAAATGCCGAATGCGAGCCTATATTTCATCCACCCACACCAATACCGTGGGAGACTTCATCATCAATCTCCTTGTTTCCTTGGACTATATATCCATGATACATGAAACTACCCCTCATTAGGATGACTTAGGTATCAAGCTTCACATCCACGTCTGCTTCATGTGCCATGTCACTCAACTTATACTCTAAATATTCCTTTTGGTCCTTTTGGTCTGTCTCCAGACCTCCAGCCTCACTTTAACCCCACCTCTCATCTCATCAATCAGCACTATGTCATCGGCAAATAACACTGGCACCTCCCCTTAAATATGCCGCGTTAGCACATCCATCGCTAAAGCAAATAGGAACGGGCTAAAAGTCGATCCCTAGTGCAACCCTATCACTACTGGGAAGTGATCCGAGTCACCTCCCATTGTCCTCACTCGAGTCTTAGCACCATCATGCATGTCCTTGATTACCCTAGTGTATGCTACCGAAACACTACTAACCTCCAAACATCTCCATAGAACCTCCCTCAGGACTTTATCGTATGGCTTTTCAAGGTCTATAAATACCATGTGTAAGTCATTCTTTCTCTCCCTATGCTGCTCACCAGATGAATGGCTTCCGTAGTGGATCGCCCCGGCATGAATTCAAACTGATTCTCGAAAATTGACACACTCCTCCTCAGCCTGACCTCCACCAGCCTCTCCCAAATTTCCATAGTATGACTCACCAACTTAATACCCTTATAGTTATTGGAGTTTTTGTTATCACCCTTGTTCTTGTACAACAGAATCATCGAACTCCACCTCAATTATTCGGGCATCTTCTTCGTCTTAAAGATAACATTAAAAAACCCAGTAAGCCACTCCACGCCTGCACGGCCTGCAATCTTCCAGGATTCTACCAGGATCTTGTCTGGCCCAGTCACTCTACCCCTGCTCATCTTAATCATCGCTCTCATAACCTCATCGACCTTAATATGCCTATAATAGCCAAAATTATACCGACTCTCGGAGTGCTCCAACTAATCCAGCATAATGTTTGTGTCCCCCTCCTCGTTCAACAGTTTGTGGAAGTATGTCTGTCATCCTCGTCTAATATGAGTGTCTTCCATCAACATTATATCGTCCTCGTCTTTGATGCACTTCACTTGGTCCAAGTCACGAGCCTTCCTCTCCCTCACTTTTGCTAACTTGTACAACTTCTTGTCCCTGCCATTGCTCCCAAGTTCTGCATACATCCGTCCAAAGGCAGCAGTCTTAGCCGTCGTAACAGCTAACTTCGCCTCTTTCCTTGCCTTCTTATCACATTCCCAATTCGTCCTCTTTTCCTCCTCGTTTGCGCTCTCCACTAGTTTCAAGTAAGCCGCTTTCTTGACTTCAACTTTACCTTGGACCTCCGTATTCCACTAACAGTACCCTATACGTCTCCCAAGGTATCCCTTCGTAACCCCTAAAATCTCTCTCGCAGCTTCCCTAATGTAGTTCGCTGTCATGGCCCACATCGCAGTCGCGTCCCCCTACACTTCTAGGTGCCCATAGCCACCAACCTCACCCCCAACTCGTGGGCTTTGTCCTTAGTCAAGATTCCCCACTTGATTCTAGGTTGACTGCACACTGCTCTCTTCTTTCTATTCCTCTTGATCCCCGGATCCATTACACTGAGCCTATGTTGAATCGTGAGACACTCACTAGAGATGACCTTACAATCCGTGCAAAGATATCTATCACATTTCCTGCAGATGAGATAATCTATCTGAATCTTGGCCACAGTACTTCGAAAAGTGACCAGATACTCCTCCCTTTTCGAAAAACTCGAGTTAGCTACCACCAAATCAAAAGCTCTAGCGAAATCTAACCGTGAAGTACCTCCCCCTCTTCTGTAGTACATAAATGTCATAATTTCAATAGATCATGACTAGGTGGCTCTTTAACAAAAGAAAAAGAAAAAATTAAAATATAAGGAAAAATGAAGTAAAGGAAGTGGGAAAAAAAGAAGATAAAAAAGAGTAAAGGAAAGTGGGCAAATGTGTGTACTTTTTGTGTGCAGAACGTTCGATTGCCCCACCAGTTGGACAGCAAATCTCCTGAAAACGCTATAGAATCTAACCAGAAAGGTACATTTTCATCCACTATCTGTGGAAAAGAAGAGCCCAGATAACGTTATAATCTTTTATTGCCACCCCTTTGAAGTGCTTTGACTAATTTTTCATCCACAATGTTAATCGAGACTATCAATCATTGAACCATCAATACCCATTTATGTCGAGGCATTTACACAAATTAGGGTTTTCAGGACATTATTGAAATTATGCCTCCTTTAATTCAATGAAGTGCATTATCTGGAAAGCAAAAATAAAAATAAAAATAAGTCATCGAATTATATTTAAAGGCAACATTTATCCATTGGACTAATAGAACATAATTTAAAGAGTGGTCATAGTGTGCAAATAAATATATAATGTCTCAAAAGAAATTAGTACGGTAACTCAAAAAACTAATGGCAATTTACATGGTACAATTTCCTCTTAAAATAATAGCCGGTATATATATATATATATATCCATTGGACTAAAAGAACATAATTTAAAGAGTGGTCATAGTGTCCAAATAAATATATAATGTCTCAAAAAAAAAGATATATATATATATATATATATATATATATATATATATATATATAAATATTAATTTTTGGATTTTTCTTATAGGTACAAAATAATATAATATTTACCTTCTCTTTTGGATTTATAAAAAGTAGCGGAAGTTTTTTTTAAAAATTATATATAAATTCGAGCAAAAAATGTAACTTACATCCAACTTGCATATAACTTTTTGTTGTAAAATATTCGGTCAAAGTACAACTCGCAAATAACAAGCACACAAGTTTTTATTGTATAAAAATCTGGTCAAAATTTATTGATGTTTTATACTTCAATACCATATAAGAGGGGGAGGGGGTAATTTGTGTGGTGTCCAATTTTCGTGTGCACTTATTATAGAAGGACATGCTTCTTCTATGCATTCCTTATTCTACTATTGCGGAATAACTGAAGCAGAAAGTAAAGAATAAAAGTATTTTTACGTGGAAAAATACATGGCTCAAAAGGTGAAAAAATAACAACCTACTTCCCAACAGGATTTTTTCCAACACTACACTAAAACTCTGAGCCAAACAACAATATTTATAAACTCTGTAAACATAAGGATTACCTCTAACCCTTGTAACAATCAGCCACAGACTGTTGCGACAGCTTCAAGTTAATTCTAACTTTAACAATACAACTCAAAGTACCAAGTACAAATACTTCTAAAGAAAGTTGAATGGTACAGTTCAAAAGCCCTACTATAATTGAACTAGAATAAAAGACAGAAACATGGAACATGTTCTTCTAATTTGGTTCATGTATCTTCAGGTTCGCACTTCTTGAAACACATATGAATTGCTTGCAAAATGACTTGCTATTTTGCTCTCAATTCTTGCTTAACTTCAGCGTTAGTGCGTCACTTGTAAAAGAGAACACAACTGAAATATATAGAGTTAGTAGGAATACGATTAACTAGAAACCTAATGCTTTAATCTTCCTACGTGGAAGAGTTCTAGTTAACTTCAATCTCTAACTCTTACCTTATCTAGAACAGAGTTATCTTCAAGTAAGGAATCTCTCTCCTTATTAATTATGTAACCTTTACGTTCAGGGAATATCATATATAACCACTTATATTTATTCCCTTCACTTTCATGCCTTGTGCTTGAATCTGCCCGTGCCCTATGTATATTGTTTATGGACCTGGTTTATGCATGTGTTCTTTTTCCAATAATCAAAACAAAAACCACTCAGGCCAATAAATTTTCCCTTTTTGATGATGACAAACTCTGTGCTTTTCATAAGCATGGAACCTGTCTCAACTCAGCTCAACATCAGCACAATGTTAGAACACTTTTCATTTAACGTCACAAATAATCAAGGACCATGTTCATTATTTTATAAACATCACAATCCAAAGCAAAAGCAAAGCACAACCTATCTTCCCCCTTTTGGCATTATCTAAAAGTTGCATGATAGTTAAGTAACTAGATTTTAGGAGATCTTACTCATGGCCACTGAGGCTACTTTAAATGCAGTCATGGATTCAATTTTCTCTTATCAATCTAAGGATATTATCCATATAAGAAATATTAAAAAATAATTAGAGACAAATCAGTAAATATTATTGATAAGATTCTTCCACAAAGCATAAAAAGAAATAAAAGTACTGAAATGAATAAAAAGCAAGCAAAAAAAATCCCACTTGGGTCACTGGTTACAAACTATGCTAGGAGGGGTTTAAGACTGGGAAGGATAAGGTTCTTGGTTTTTGGCCTGAAGCAGCTTCAACATGTCTTGTAGAATGCCCTCATTCTTCTCTTTCTCCTTTTCAAGCTCAGACCTAAGAGAGTCTCTCTCAGTTTCTACTTCAGTTAGCCTCCTCTTCAGCCTCTCAATCTCAGCATCCTTAGCTTCATTCTCCTGCTCCAATGCTCTCACTTTGTGGTTCTTGGGAACCCTCTTGGATGAACCAGGTTCTTTGGGAGTAGTAAAGACTTCATAGTCACAGTTAGTAAGAGTGTTGGCCCCAAAGTAATCTTTACTTCTGCAAACATCCCATATCATGAGGGAGACCTTAAAGTGAGCAAGCACTGAAGTGAGTATGAAGCAATAGGGAATGACATGAGTTTTAGTGCCACAAACCACCCTATTAAGGAGTTGGATGATGAACATCGGAAAATTTATTTGCTTTCCACTGTCCAAGCACTCCATAAGGACCAATTCCATGAAGGTAGCAATATGCCTTCTCTCTTGCTTGGGCAGAACTACTTTGTTGACAAATTTAAAGAGCACTTTGTGGGAAGGTATTATTTCACTCTTGTAAACTACCCTGGGTTGTTGCTCTAAGTCCCTGTCAACAAATATTTTGGTGATGGCAAGTGAGGTAGGTAGATTCTCTAGACTAGGCCACTTCAACTTTTATAGTCATTGTACCCTTCAGCAGGTACACCCAGAATATCCCCTAGCTATTTATCATCAAAGCTCACCTTCACTTTTTTCACTTCATTGTTGACTCCTTCATTTTCAATCTCACAATTTGCAAAGAAATCAACAATCTCAACCTTGGCTAACCTGCCTTCCAATTGAAGGACCATGTCCTTCCAGCCTTGGCTAACCTTCCTTCCAATTGAAGGATCATGTCTTTCCAACCTTGTCTCTCCAATTTCTTCAGCAACAGAACCATCCCTTCTTCTTCTAAATCACTAAGAAGCCTCCCTTTCAGGATTGTTCTCTTTCGGAACTTCACTACTTTATCCTTTTATTCATCAGTCTCCTCTTCTTCACTTCCTCCTCCATAATTTGAACTTTTCTTGATTTCCTGGCACACCTGGTTCTCCTTGACAGGGCAGCGCTCTTTCTCTTAACAGACTCTTCTGGCGATTTCTTCTTAGAAGTCTTTTTCTTCTTTGCACTGGGAGTCATATCCTCCACTTCCCCTGCCTCATCCTCATCATGAATGACCAGGTTCGTCTCTTCTATCTCAATTGTTTTACTTGTTTCACCCATCTTCTTCTTTCCTTTAGCAGCAGATTTCATTGCACTCTCGGCTAAGGCCTTTTCTAGGTCAGCCTCACTCTACTTCCTCTGACTCCTTGTATTTTTTCGTCTTATGGGAGGAGTCTCTACAAGCATAGAAGAGGCATCATTTCTCTTCCTGCTGTCCATAGCAGTTCCAGGGATTTTCACTCCTGAACTTTTCTTGTTCTTTGGATTGTAGCTATCAAACACTTTCTTCAGTAGGTCATGGAGGGGGTTCCTTCCTAGATAGAATAGGTTCTTAGAACCTTTTCGTCATCCTAACCAGCCTCTCCGTTGCACTAGCATCTCTAGACCCACTGCCTCCTTCTCTAAGACTGTCTCATTCCTTAACAACCTCCTCACTTCACAACATCATTGGCTATGTTTCTTCAGTCAACCTAATATGAGTATGAGAAGAAGATTCAACCATTGTTCCTTCTCCCTTTCTCCTCACATCTACTTCAAAACCCTCACTCACTTTTTCTTTTCCCTTTTTATTTTTACCAGCAATTTTTTCAGACTCAAATTCTACACCAGCAATTGTACCAACTAAAACAAACCTTTTCTCAATATTTTCAGCAACCTCAGAAGTAATATCGGAGAGTTTGAACCCATAGGTTACCTATTCAGTTTCAGATGAAACTTGTTCTTCCCCCTCAGTCGCAGACTTGAAAGACATATATGATTTTTGGGGTTCCTCTAGTGACTTGCCTGCAACTCTCATGCAATTTCTTGGTCTGTTCACTACCAACTACTGTTTTACGAGCAAGCATACTGACACGCCTTTTCTTGGGGTTTGGTTGCTTGAAGGCGTGGGTGAAGGCTCTTTTGGTGGTGAAGTTGGGTTTTAAGTGTTCTTTGTGTTTTCAAGTAAAGAAGCCATTGGATAACTGTAGATAGGCGATGAAGGTTAAGAGAGTTTTAGGTTTTAGAGGCTTTGATATTTTATAAAATGAGAGATGAGAGAAGACGATATTTGTAGATTAATATAATGGAGGGTAGGTTGAGTGTTTAATGGTACTTTTTGAAGTCTAGATGTCTAATCACATTGGGAGTTTAAGTTTGAAAAGACATTGGGCGTTTCCCTAGATTTTTGGCAATTATGTCGCGTGGGACTCTTGGTAAAATTGGTTCGTTTGTAACCTATTGGTTCAAGAATTAATTTGGGACAAAGTCGGACTCTTTTCATATTATGATCCAAATACAATTATTTCAAATTTTGGGGAGTGTCGAATACATACCTTATAAGCTTGATGAACCAGGTTCTTCACTAAAAGTTCTCTTGTGTAAG